GCCGGAACCGGTGGCCGAAGAAGTGCGCCCTCAGGCGGGCAACCTGCAGGGGGGGAGGGCGTGGCAAGGGGGGAGGGGGGGGGGGGGGCCGGGTGTGGCCAGGCGGCCGGGTGACGAGGGGTCGCCCTCAAAAAAAAATCGGTCCGGGCGGGGCCGACGAAAGGCCATCAGGCCATTCTAGTGGGGATTGTTTTTTTCTGCCAATCGCAGAATGATCATCACATTCCAGATTGAGATGCCCATTCCCGGGAAGGCACGCTCAGACCGCTGCTTTCCCCCCCCCCCCGCCCGCACATCCGGGCGCGTGAGGAGAAACCCGCGAAAAGTGCAAGGGGCGGACTCCGATACACATCGCGGCGAAGGGCTTCTGTCGCTGGGCCCTCTGTGTGTGCCCCCCCCCCCACCCCCCACCCCTTGTCCGTCCCGGTCGCACCCCCCTGGCCTCCCGGAGGCCGGGCTGAGATCTGCCCGTGCCATGCCCGTTTTGATTGGGGCCGGGGGTCGGCCAGGCGCGAGGCCAGGCAAGGCCCGCGGTCAGGCAGGGACTGACCACCGGAGGCCCTTCCCACACGAATATCGGCTCCCTCCCCCGGCCCCGGCCTCGGGCTGCCGGATGCGGTGGCCGTCAACTGGGCTTCCGTCGGCGGGGACCGGCCCCTGCCACCTTGGCATTGAAGGCCCCACTCCCCCCTCCTCCCTCCCTCGCCAAGAGCCAGTCCCGCGCAGAGGCCTAAACTTGCGCGCGTGCGCGCGCGCCAAGCGAAGGACGCGGGCAGGGGGGACACGCCGCGCCGGTTCTCGCGTGGGCCTGGCCCTGGTGCTCGGGGCCATTGCCCCAGTCCCGTGTGTGATGGGCGTGGCTGGCTGCGAGGCTGCACGCCTCCTGCTGCTGCTGCGCATGCTTCTCCCCAGGGGCACGGCCGGCCCTCCGCACCAGCCGACCCAGACACCAGCCGACCCAGACACCAGCCGACCCCCTCACTTTCTGGAGACGCACCCACACCAACACACCGACACACCGACACACCGACACACCCACACATAAACGGCGAATCATCCCCCCCCCCCATTCCGCCTCTGTTCAACACAGGACCCAACCCTCCTCCCGCCGGCCGATCGCCGGGGGCCATCAGCCCACTTCTCCACCGAGCCGGGGCAGCGCCCTTTTCGGACAGTGCCGGGCACCAGTGCCACGCACGAAGCCCTCTTCCACCTCTTTCTTCGGTTGCCCCCTGCCCTCGCCTCGCCTTCCGTCCTCTTCTCCGCTCTCGTCACGCCCCCACTCTCATCCATCCACCCCCTTTGCCTTTCCCGCCCCGCCGCCCCAACTCCCGTACGTGCCGCCTTCCGCGCCCCGGCCAAGATCTTCTCCTGATTCCCCCGCCCCCGTTGCCGGCCCCACCGCCCTCGACCGATGGCACACGACCCTCCCTCTCTCTCTCTCTCTCTCTCACACACACACACACACACTCCTGAACAGGTCGGTCGCGGCCCCCCCCCCCCCCCCCCCTCTCCCACTCTCCTCTGCCCTCGCGCACACGCGCACCCACACCCACACCCACACATCCCATCCATGTCTACCTCCTCGCGGCAGAGCTCCCCGGCACCGGCTTCGCCGGTCAGCACCCAGAGCAGCTTGCAATTGGAGCCGGGTGCCACCGCCTCGCCGACCTCCTCCACAGCAAGCAGTGGCAGCATCGCCGGGCACTCGCCTCCCTCGGCCTCGATCTATCCCGCCATGTCCGAGAGCATGCCGGCCCTGGTGTCGGTCTCGACGCCGAACCTGGCCCCGGCCTCCCAGCGGGTATCCTTCAGCAGCCTGGGCATCGAGCTGCCCGGGGAGACCGCCAGCGGGTCGGCCTCTTCGCCGGCCCTCGCGCCGCTGACCATCCCCTCGCCGTCGACCAGTGGCGGAGGCAACAGCCCCCGGTCGGCGCCAGCCGGCCAGCCGCCGGTGCCCTGCCGCCATGCGCTGTCCATCTCGGTGGAGGTCATCGAGGCCAAAGATCTCAAGGAGCGCTATGACACATACTGCACCATCACCGTCAACCAGGAGGAGAAGTTCCGCACCAAGTCCCAGCTCCTCACCCATGAGCCGGAGTTCAATGAGCAGTTCTATGTGTGCGTGTGCCTGGGCTCCTGGTATCCTGCTCGCCGCTCCCCCTCGGCCGGAGGGGTCGCACGCAGCCACTGACCCGTCCTTTGTCCGTGCTCATTGCCCAGTCCGCTGGAGGTGGACTTCCGCGCGCTGGATGTTGTTCTTTGGGACGAGAAGCGCCTCATCTCCGACCGGGCCCTCGGCCGGGTGTCCTTCACCAAGGACTTCCTCCGCATGCGCTCCGGCAAGATGCTCGAGCAGTGGTATCCCCTCAGCTCGCCCGGCTCCGACAGCGTGGTGTCCGGTGATGTGAAGCTCGAGATGGGTCTCATCCCGGGTGCCCAGCCGGGCGGCAACCACCGGCTGATTGTGAGCGGTGTGTACTCCTCCCTCCCTGTCTCGGTCTCTTCCTCTGTCTCTGCCCCGTCCCGCCCCGTTCCCCCGAGAGGCATTTCTCGATCTCTGCTGACGCCATTCGCCCCCTCCCTCCCTGCCGTGGCGGCGGTGCCGCGACCGCCCAGTGTCCGAGGCGCGCGACCTGCTGGGCCGCGACTCGGCCACTCCCCCGGACACCTATGTCACGCTGCACATGTTCCCCGACGAGCAGATGGCCCTGCCCACCCGGGCCACGCGTGTCTTCCTCCGGTCATCGGCCCCCAAGTTCCAGCAGACCTTCGAGTTTGAGTTCGCCGGCGATGTGGGCACCCACTCGCTGCATGTGGCCCTGTGGGACCATGCGCGCTACCCGGGCAACGACTTCATGGGACACTTCTCCGTATCCATGGCCGATCTGCCGGAAAACTGGACCATCAGCGAATGGTTCCCACTGCTGCCCCCGCCGTCGGGGCTGCTGCAGTCCCTTGGCATCAAGGCGGAGGATGGCCGGCCGCTGTCCTTCATCCCGCGCTTCCGGCGGAACCGCTCGAGCACCGGTGCGCCTACACACACACACACACACACGCACACATGCACACATATGCCCTTTCTCGTTCTCCCTCCCTCTCTGTTCCCCCTTCTATGTCTCCAGCACCGGGATCAGTGCCCTTCTTGCTCCCCCCCCCCTGACCTGTACATCTCCTCACCACCACCGCCACCGCCATTGATTCAGGCGGCCTGTCGGAGCTTCTGTCCCGGCCGCGGACCTTTATTGAGTCCTTCCAGAAGGCCCCCCTGGACCAGGGGCCCATGGCCCTGGCCGCCATGCGCGGGTCCATTCGTTTGCGCGTGAGCTACTCCGAGGAGTACATCCTCGAGCGGAGCCATTACCTGCCGCTGGTGCGGCACATTTCCCGGCGGGACTTCCTCCTGTCGGCCATGCTCGGCCGGTGGTCGGCCGCCCGTGAAAGCCTGTCTCTGACGCTGATGCGAGTGTTCGATGAGAATGGCATCCTGGTGCCCTTCCTCCACTCGATGATTCGCGTGGAGCTGGCCCAGACCACCGACGTGAACACCCTCTTCCGTGCCAACTCTCTGGCCAGCAAGGGCATCGACGTTTTCATGAAGGCATCTGGCCATGCGTTCCTGGTCAATACCATCGGCCAGCCGGTGCGGGATCTCATCCTGTCCAAGAAGTCCTTCGAGGTGCGTGTGCATTCCCCCTCCCCTACCGCTCCCGGGGGAGGGAGGTGGGGCAGTGGCCCCTGCTCGATCGAACAGGGGCCTTTTCAGCTGAGACCGGCAGCCCGGAGCCGCGTCTTTTGCTGCTGCTGCTGCCGCTGGCTTTCCTTCCCCCCCCCCCCCGGGCTGCCGCAGACACCAGCATGCCCCCCCACCCCCCCCCCCCCCTCCCCCCGCGGGAAGCCTCGGCGGGCGGTGGCGGGGGGGGCGTTTCCAGTGGGAACCGCAGAGGGTCCCCGCTGGGGCCGATGGTGGTGCATGGGGGTGCCGGTTGGGGGGGGTGGGGGGGGGGGGGGGGGGGGGGGGGGGGGGGGGGGGGGGGGGGCGGAGGAAAGCACAACCCACTGCGGAGCCCGCCGGCCCTGAGCCGAGCTTGGGTTTCTCGGGCGGGCCTGGCTGAGACGGGGGGCGTGCTGGAGGAAGGGGAGGGGCAACCGTGCGGTCAGACGTTCCTCCGGCCCGCAAAATCGGGCCTTTTTGTCGCGCTCCGGGATACCTCCCGCCGGGGATGTCCCCCCCCCCCCCGCCCCCGCATGGCTTCCTTCCCCACCCAGCTCGGCGTGCAGGGCCCGAGGCGGCCCGCCCGCGCCCAAGGGCTCGCCCTCTCCTCTGACTGGGGCTGGCGTCTGGGGCAAATGCGCTCTACGCGCGATACTCGCCCCGGCTGGGACTCCGACGCGCGATGCCAAAGGGCCCCGGATCCTGCCCCTCCGTCAACAAAAAGCGCCAGTCCTCAGCGGAGACCCCCGCCCCCCCCC